ACTGGAACCAAAGAGTGAAGAAAATCAAAAATGCATGGAAACAGTCCAAAGGACCATGAGAACCTCAGCCTTTTTGACCCTGAGACCAGAAGAACTAGACATGTCTGGCGACCAATGCCAACCACTTAGAAAGGGATCAAAATTGGAGATCCTGGATAGACTAGGAGAAAAAGTAAGGAACAAAATTTAAAAACATAAAAGAGAACAGGTTTACTGGTCGGGAAGAGACTGGTGAAACCCCCAAGACTTTACGGCCCCGAGTCACCTTTTGTGCCTGGAATGGAACTCACTCCCATTTGTCCACGCAGGGACAGATGATAGGCCTATGAGCTGAACGCCAGAGGGAAAGAAACAAACAAAAAAATGTGTTTTGTGGAATGTAAAAAGAAAAAAAAAATCACTGCCATCAAGTCAATTCCAACTCGTAATGGCCCAAGAGGACAGAGTAGAACTGTCGTAAATCTTCATGGATGCAGATGGCCACATCTTTCTCCCACGAAATGGCTGGTGGGTTCAATGCAGCCAAGTGCTTAACCACTGCTCTACCAGGGCTCCTTTTTTAAAATTTTTATTGTGATTTGGGTCAAAGTTTACAGAGCAAATTCATTTTCCTTACAACAACAGTTCATACACATTTTGTTTCATGACATTGACTGCAGTTCTCACAACATAACAGCTCTCTTCCCACTTCCTCCCTGTACTTACCACTTCCCTGTGTCCTTTCCCCCTATGACTCATGCCCCCCAAAACTGTCTCCCTATGCAAACACTGCCCTTCTGTTCTCTCATGATTGATCACTCCAAGGAGTGTATCTACCTGATGTAAATGTTCATCCCATATGCTTGTCTACTGTTTGGCTGGAAGCCACAGGAGGGACTTCAATTCCAGACCTGAAGGGTAACTAAGGGCCATACTCTCAGGGGTCTCACCAGTACCAGGGCTCCTTCTGATGAAGGAGTAAAAAGTATTACTTTTACTCAATCTAAATGTGAGTGCACATCTCCTAATATTCTTTGTGATAAGGTGGGAAGTACGCAAAATGCAGCTCTGCCACATACCAGAGTCTCTGCAAGAACTCCTATGTCTGAGTTACCAGCTGAACTAGCCATTT